CCGTTGGGCATGTTCGATGCGCCGAAGGACCGTCACGTTTTCCCGTGGCTGGAGGTGAATGCACGCTTTGGGATCATCAAGAGGCGTGAGGCGAGCAAGGGCACCGCCCCTCAGAAAGCTGAGGTGAGCCCTTTTGGCTTTGGCGCCTGAGCGACGCTTGAGTTTGTAAATGTAGCTTGGAGTATCACAAGATTTTCGAGCGAAGGGCATGCTGTCATGCAGCAGTCTCGGATTATCTGGATGTATGGGTTTGAGTCCTGTGCAGTGGAAAGAGCCTCGCCAGCCCACGCCAGTGTGAGAGTCGAATCCGGCAATGCTGGCAAAGAGTTGCGCCACCTCCTGCCAGGATTCAGTGCGCTCGCTGTGCTCACGCTGCCCACCTCCAAGTCTGCAAGGCAACGCTGGGCTTCCAACTCCGTAAAGTTCCAATTCCAAGGTTTTCAAATCGCAAAAACCACGACCGGCAAGCATGTTAAGGTCAGCCATCGATTGCAGCAAGAAGCTTATGAGCAGGGCTTGCCTGGTCGCTGAGATGCTTCGCAGAATGCGCTTTTCCTGCCCGCCTCCTGTCTGCACACCTATGCGCAGGAATCTTGGTGTTTCTTCTTGCGCACGTAATCGTCCTGACCTCTGGTTAGGCCATGCAGGAAGCGACCAAGGCAGCGCTCACACAGGGGGCTGCACGTGCCACTCAGCTTGCCGGCGCCTGAGATGTAAATCGTGTCCCCATCTTTGACTGCACCCATTTCCTGGCGTTCGTGTGCGGAGCCTCTTCTCCAAGATGTACAGTTGGTTGAGACCCCACTTGGAGGGAGGGCGGAGCTCAGCTACAAGAGCAGGCTTTTGGGATCTGGGAGCGGAGGGCAGGGCTGTCGGGCTGTGGGGCAGGGCTTCGGGCATCTTCAGGCTTTAACTAAAATGCCGGGTCTGGAAGTAAGCCCGAGCAAGGCGTGACATTTGGGTTGGAGGTTATGTTTGACCTGTACGTTATCGCAAAATCTCCCCACAAGTCTTGAAGACAATGGCGTTGGCTGCGCAATGTTGCTGCGTTTCTTTGAAAGATGGGCTTGACATGCAGTGGTTTGATCTGCAGATTTGCGATTGTCCACACCTTGCCGCACGGAGACCCTTTCCGTTGTCAGGAGATGTTGCTGTAGCCAGGGAACTGCAGTTCCCCGGTTTGGGTTCTTTGACACGTTTAGCACGCAACGTGAAAAAAGACAAAACATGCCGTGGAAGGAGGGCCTTCCTCACAAACGATGCAACATCAGCGCGCTTTTGTTTTGATTTGTTCCTTGAAGTTCCTTGGGCAGCTAGCTCGGTTGGTTCTGGGGTGGGTTTGCACTTCAGTCTTGGGGTGTTTTTGCAGTAATTTCGCCTGTGCTTTTCAGATGTGTTCAGTTCACAATGCATTCTAAAATTCGCGTCGGCCGGAATAATGTTTAACATTGGGGGGGGGGGGGGGCCCTAAACCCAAAAACCTGAAATCCGAAGCCGAAAAAGACAACGAGAGATGTGGTAGTAACTGCGACCAATCGAAGCCTTTTGCAGAGCTGCAGCTCCACGACAAACCTTAATGAAACCCCTCTGAGCCTTGAGCCCCAACATCTGAAATCCTCCGAGCCCTAAAGCCCTAAGCCCTAGTTGAAAACCCTAGTGGCTCGACTCAAGGGCGGAGGCCCTCATCCCCAGGGTCTTGGGCTTAGCCCCCTAAACCCTAGTTAAACCCTCTGAGCCTTAAGCCCTTACTTAACACTAAAAATGATGAAATTTTACAAGGAATTTAAATCAGGCTGGACACCAAAAAAATCCGGAGCTTCTTATTCGAAACTGTTTTTTTGTTTTTGGCTCCCCGGCCCCCCGCCCTTCAACCCCAGCCGGGACAACATCGCATAATTGTGAACCACCCTAAACAATGGGGGGTTCTGTATAAGCGGATCGGAAAATCGCATAACAGTGGTCCCATCCACTAAAGCCAGTCCAACATTATGTATCAAATGTATGTATGTAATGTATGTTAGCAATGTGTGTATGTAATGATTTAATGTATGTATGTAAGCATGTATGTATGCATGCATGCATGCATGTTTGTGTGCGTGCACGTATGCATGTGCGCTTGTGTGTGTGCGACTTCCAGACTGTATTCGTTTGGATACTTACGTGATACTTATACAGCCGCGTACCTGTTTCTGAGTGCCTACAGAGATCATAATGGACGGAACCCGTGTTTTGTGCTCGGTCGGCTGTTGGATGCCCCGTGCCCGGAACCAATGTGGGTATCGGGAGGCAGCGCGTTTTATGGGACCGCACTTGGGATTTTACATGTGTCGTGTAGGAGTTGGGAGGTGCTTCGGGTTTTGGTGTAATGGCTCCTTCTGGTCGGTTGGTGGCTGAGGAAAATCTCTTGTTCAGCTCCCTGGGCGTGGTCATCCTTCCCCATATGCCTACTTCTGGTCCGTTGTTAGCTGAAGCTCTTTTTTTCCAGCTTGCTGGGCGTGGAAATCCTTCCTCACGAGCCTACTTCTGGTGGGTTGTTAGCTGGAGAAAGTCTTTTTCTGCTTCCTGGGCGTGGTAATCCTTCCGATATGCCTTCTTCTGGTCGGTTGCTAGCTTAATCCTTGCCCATATGCATTCTTCTGGTCGGTTGTTGGCTGAAGAAAATCTTTCTCCGGCTCCCTGTGCGTGGTACTCCTTCCCTATGTACCTTCTTCTGGTCGGTTGTTAGCTGAAGAAAATCGTTTTCCAGCTCACTAGGCGTGGTAATGTTAGCTGAAGAAAATGTTTTTCCAGCTCCCTGGGCGTCGTGATCCGGACGGTTGTTAGCTGGCTCCCTGGGCGTGGGAATCCTTCCCTATGTGCCTTCTTCTGGTCGGTTGTTAGCTGAAGAAATTTCTTTCCAGCTTGCTGGGCGTGGGAATCCTTCCCCCATCTACCTTCTTTTGGTCGGTTGTTAGCTGAAGAAAAATTTGTTCCAGCTCCCTGGGCGTGCTAATCCTTCCCCATATGCCTTCTTCTGGTCGGTTGTTAGCTGAAGAAAATCTTTCTCCAGCTCCCTGGGCGTGGTACTCCTTCCCTATGTACCTTCTTCTGGTCGGTTGTTAGCTGAAGAAAATCGTTTTCCAGCTCACTAGGCGTGGTAATGTTAGCTGAAGAAAATGTTTTTCCAGCTCCCTGGGCGTCGTGATCCGGACGGTTGTTAGCTGGCTCCCTGGGCGTGGGAATCCTTCCCTATGTGCCTTCTTCTGGTCGGTTGTTAGCTGAAGAAATTTCTTTCCAGCTTGCTGGGCGTGGGAATCCTTCCCCCATCTACCTTCTTTTGGTCGGTTGTTAGCTGAAGAAAAATTTGTTCCAGCTCCCTGGGCGTGCTAATCCTTCCCCATATGCCTTCTTCTGGTCGGTTGTTAGCTGAAGAAAATCTTTCTCCAGCTCCCTGGGCGTGGTACTCCTTCCCTATGTGCCTTCTTCTGGTCGTTTGTTAGCTGAAGAAAATCTTCTTCCAGCTCCCTGGGCGTGGTAATCCTACCACATTTGCCATCATTTGCCTTCGTCTGGTCGGTAGAAAATCTTTTTTCGGCTTGCTGGGCGTGGTACTCCTTCTCCATATGCCTTCTTCTGGTGGGTTGTTAGTTGAAGAAATTCTTTCTCCTTCTCGAGCTCGCTGACTGCGGTAATCCTTGCCCGTATTCCTTTTGAAACTGCGCTGGGCTTCAAGCAAAAGCAGTAGTGTGTTCGCCACGGATCCTAGAGCGGCGCCTCTAAATCCTTCTGGCTTTCCCCGAAGAGCCGTTTTGAAATGGTTGAACTGGTTGAAATGGATATGCCGGGGCTCCTGGGGAAAGCCCAACGTATTTAAAATGGTTGAAATGGTTGAACAACCATTTCAACCAGAATGGTTGAACTGATTGAAATGGATAATTAAACTGGTTGTGCAAGTACTCGTACTGGTACTAGTATTACCCTCAGAGGATACTCACATGGGCCCTAAAGGTCCAGCATACATAGCGTTTATACCACTTCGTATCACGTGGAGTGCAATGAAGGTGTGTGTTTGCTGGTGGCATCATTGCAGTGCAGGTGTGCTTGCTGGCGGCATCTGTTGGCGACACGGCAGGATGCCGAGCCATCTGAGCCAACCGTCAGCACACACCAGGGCCGCTAGTTTGTCATGTGAGGTCTTTTTCAAGCGGATGACGTCCGCCTTGCCCAACTATGGACCGAATCTTTGAGTGACCCGTAATGAAGAACCACAATCTATAGGTGAGTGTGATTATCTGAAGGATGGTATTGACGCAGCTGTCAACAATTATCTACGTGCTGTTTGTCGCCACACTCGCGGGCACAGGCAATACACAACAGGCAGGCCCAGCGGTGTCTGCATCGTTGATGCTGTTGGAAATTCTGCCCAATCAACCTTTCATACATTCAACGTCCTGAAGTTCGTGGCGCCCTTCAGGTAGCACCTGCGGCTTGAGACTTGTTGAATACACGTCTCGAAAATTTTGGCAGGTGGAATTGCAACTTGTGGTGGGCCCAGAAGTGTCCGCGACTTGTCCACTGACACCCAAGCAGCACACCTTAGTCACTGCCTTAGTCACCACGTGCAAACGCTGCCCCATCCAGAGGTTCCCAATCCTTCCTACAATCTGGCTGGCACCTTCCACTACCTGACAAAGTTCGAAAATTTGCCTTGATGGGCGTCTTCGATGGCCTCAGTGGTACCTTCATAGCCCACGCCTCATGTGGCTTCTTTTCGTACGATTGTATGGGGGATTGTATTGGGGCCTGAAGTGCTGAGGTCCTCGGAGGAGTGCAGACTTCGGGTACCCTGCAGGTGCTCCTGGGCCAGGCACGTGTCCGCTGTCCGCCTAGGGATGAATCTCTGAAGAAACTCGTTGTCCAGCTCCCTGAGGCGTGGCAATCCTGAAGAAAGTGCACTTTGTTGCAGCGACAAGTGAACGTCAAGCACACCTTCCAAAGGAAGACGTTCGAGCAGGACCTCCATGATGCCTTGGAGCCCGCGGTTGAGTCAAGGCTACTTCCTGCTCACCATGAAGACGGGCCCAGGAGAACAAAAACCAGCAAAGCTGTCATGTGTGGGGGGCTCGTCATCAGCGATTTCAGTCTGCTTCGTGTTTGATTGTTCTGGTACACGGTGCAGGATTGTCGAAGATACGTCGAGTGGAGGCCACCAGCACCCGTCCACCGTTTGCAGGGGCCAGAATTTGGCACGCTAAGCGAAGCACATCGAAAGATGTTGGGCACTTCAATGTGCTGGAATACCTTTTTGCTGGAGAATCGGCTTTGCCTCCTTCGGCCTTAACTGGCAGCTCAGTTTCCGTCGCTCAGTCGCGCAGGGGGCACAGCTGGCAGTTCCTCCGAGTCGATGCCCGAGGACGCTGCCGCCGAGATGTCGGGACGAGAGCTGGGACTTGTCCTGCTGCAGAAGTTGATGTTCCCTAGGAGCTGCGGATGCTGCCAAGCTACGAGCAGTTGCTAAGTTACGAGCAGCGCGTTTGCCCGCAGAAAAGATTGTGATTGCGTATCACATTCGTTGTGAACGTGCAAAGCCCATATTGGAGACGACAATAACCATGTGTTGGTTTGTAAACTTTCGGTTCACATCTCGAAAACAGCATCTCCCCCTCGTCACAATGAGGATATGAATTGAATATGTCGTAGGGTATGTGCGTATGCTGTACAAGACATTTGCATTTGCACGTGTATGCCTTATGCAAGTGCATCCAGCGGGCAGCACAGGCAGTAGCATGGGTGGAGGATCGTGCATCCGGGAGGGCCAAACAGCGCCTGAACACAAAGCCCTATATAAATCCGTATAAACCCTAAACACACCATACTATGCTGCACATGCTGCAAGAGGCGGGCCCCAAACAGTGCATGGAGAAGCGCGTGCAAACGTAGCGCGTGGAGGACGGAACAGCAGTGGCTCCAAGTCGCGCTTTCGTGTCCCCATGACGCGTAGTCATTGACGTGTTCTTGGCGAGCTCTTGGGATGCTCGAGGAGTTCTTCTTGAGGGATGTCCCTCGAGTGCCATTGGAATGACGTCTGGAGCGCTTGGAGTGCTCCTGGTGTATGTTTGGAGGACCCTTGGAAACCTCCAGCGTTTCCACATGGTCTTTCGCTGTTTGGGGTCTACGCCGGCATAATGAGCGCCCGCGATAAGGTTAACAGCCCTTCTCTTGTTCTGCATCTCCGAAGAAGGAGCGCCCACGACAAGTTTAACAACCCTTCTTTTGTTGGTTGTTCTCCCAAGAATGGGCGCGAACGAAAGGTTTTAAGTCCTTCTCTTGTTGGTTGTTTCTCTAAACGATGAACCCCCGCGAAAAAAGCCCGTCTCTCATTACTTCTTTCCAAACAGTGAGCGCCCACGAAAGGGCAAACAACCCTTCTCTTGTTTATTTTCTCCAAACCGTGAGTGGGCACGAAAAGAGTACTCACCCTTCTCTTTTTGATTTTCTCCAAACAAATGAGGGCCCACGAGAAGGTGAAGAACCCTTCGTGTTTTAATATACTGCGCGCTTACGGAAAAAATCACCAGTCCATCTCATCTGGATTTTCTCTAACCCTGCGCCTCCAACCACCTAAAATCACACCGGCGAAAACCCCAGAAAGCTGGGGAGGCGGTCTGAGAATAAATAGAAATTTCCCCTCTCTGTTGTGGCACTGCGCTTCACACGATTTGGCGTTGCCGAATCTGAAGGCTTGTACAATTGAATGAGAAATGTTTGGCTAACGATTGAACTTGATAGGTGTCCTGTCGGCCCTGCTCAGGCATCATGAGTATACGCTACGTTCGTCTTACAAGGTCTCATCCTTGCAACAGGACAGGACCTGTAACATTCTGTTTCCGGGAATCCGAGGTTGACACCAGTCCATGGCATTGTCTTGTGCCACTTTTTCGGATCCAACTGCACCGTTCTGTCCTTCACCGGCTGCACAAAGCCCTCCACAACCTTTCCAGGCCCTCAAATCCCCCAACCGTGGCCACGTAGTTCACGGAGTTGCGAAGGTTGAAGCGGTCCTTGTGAGCATTGGCACACAGGTTTCTGGCCACCGTGATCGCGACGAAAACGTTCTTCCCGGCGAAGGAAGAATTGATTGACGTACTTAGCCAGCGGCTCATAGGCACTGGTTTCCCTCGTAAGACCCGTGCGGGGCCCGCTAGGGTAAGAAAATGCACAACGCAACACCAGCAACAAAAGCATTGCTTGCAGCCTGGCGCGGATCTGGCAGAAAATTTAATTGGAGCTGCAGACACTTAACTGGCAACTGGGACAGCCTGAGATGGTGACTCTGTCATGGGCACAAACTTCCAACGGTGCAAATCCTCCCGCTTTTCGACGCCCCATGAGCTGGCTGGATCAGGGCCAGAAAACCAAAACCTGACACAATTCATGGTGCGCGGACCGCCGGCAGGCCCTGCTCAGAGGGACTTTTGATCTCCGTACAGCGGCGGTGTTGGGTTGTCACGTGAATCCTAAACCACTTTGGCGTGTCCCGTGATCTCAACCCCCAAACGCCATGTGTTTTAACCAAGCGCCGCAAGGAAGTCACTGCATGTCACAAGGCCATCGGTTGAGCTGCACTGTGCTCAAGCGCTCCCCCTCGCCACGTTTTTTTGACCTTCTTGTTCAATGGCGGCATCCTTTGTGAGCGCCATGGGGGAAGCGGCACTGAGCCAGTGCCAGCTCAAGATGCGGGGCGCAGGCACGTGTCTGAGGCTGAACCTTTCAGGCAAACTAGCGCCCAAAAGCTCGAGGCCTGGACACAAAGTTTGTCCGCCAAGCCCTCCTCGGCCAGAAGGGCGGTAAAACGAAGGGCTTCCCGGCTTACATAAGTTTCTGCAGGGTGCCCACTTGAAGCTGTCACAGAGTGCCTGCAGCTCCAAGGTGGCATCTTGGTCACCGTGACTTACCGCCCCAAGACGGCCGAGGTGCTCGCCTTCACTTGCCGGAAGGACTCCAGTTCCTGGACCTCCAGAAGAGTGCGACTATGACTTAGGTGAAAGTCGTTGCCGGAGCGCTGCTTTGCCCGTTAAAGGAGGGCTGCTCCGGCTTCTACTGTGACCGCGCGTGGAGCATTCATCGCTCCGGCGGCGGGGCTGCAGCTGCTTTGGAAATTCAATCCAAAGCACGCAGCTAGGGCCTCAAGGCCATGGGACTTTGCTCCATCCCCTCTGCCAGAGGATTCTGGCGCAAGATGGGGTTTTCGGAGCACGCGGACGAAGGCATCTTAGGCGCTCAGCTGGCTGAGGCTCGCTGCTGCAAGGGTGTACACGGCAGGGTGTATGTGAAAGGTGGCCATTGACTGCCCAAGCTGCGAGGCACTGGAGTCCGAGATCGCTGGTCACCAGTACGATTATTCTAATTGGCAGGATCTCACGCCCATGTACTGGTGCACAGGACTCTAGCTTGCCAAATTTGGCGTTGCAGGTCGCTTAAAGTAGTATCACCTAAAACAAATATCTCCTCATGTCGCCTTTCCTTTCTTCCTACTAAAAGCCAGTACTTGTGATGCATGAAGCTTAACAAGTTCTAGGGTTTTCTGACAGGGGTTGCAGGACAGTGTGAAACCTCGAAACATGTGCACTGGGTTAACACGCCGGAAGCTCAAAAAAGAGCCTTTGGCTTGTACACCTAGAGCTTACAGCGGAGCACCTCAAGTATGCGGGGTTTCCCAAGAGGAGGGTACCCCAAATACACCGCAAGAAAAATCGGAATCGTCCACAATCGGATCCCAAAAAGGTATATTCGTATTTTAAGAAACCCCACATCGTCACGACAGAGAGAGAGTCTGTGCTCTGCATGGCACGCGCGCTTTATCGGAATGATGGCTGCGCAGCTGTCCTTGGAAAAGCACTGCAGTCGAACGTCACACGCAGAGCCTCGAAGGTCCATATACAGTGCCATTATGGAGTAGACTATTCCCCAGCAAGTCACGCGTGCAGCATCCCGCTCATGCGGCACGCACACGCCGCTTAAGGGTTCAGGGTGGAACCTCCCTAGTCACGAATCCCTTGTTCCCCCTTGGTGGAAACAATCTCATTTTTGCGTACTCATAACATATGCATGTAATTACGTAATTTATACACCTCCTCTAAACCAAAACCTTTTGCGGAAGATTCCACCCCCATCACGGAGCATGTAACGCCCAGAATAGTGCAGCTAAGTATCAATCTTCACTCGCTTGTTGAAAACCTCGCACCCTCAAATGCAAAGCAACGCAGCTAGGAGGGTCTGGTAGTTTGCGAGGGGGCTTTAAAAACATGAGGCTCGGTGTGCAACCGACATCAGGCTCAACACGAGCCTGAGGCTCTGAACAGCTGATCAGCGGAAGGACACTGGTAAACTGGAACAAGAGTCGCACTGACAGCGGGCAAAGCATACTCTGGCATGAGTTTTTGAAGCCGTCACGGAGCGTTGCTTGGCAGATTTTGGCTCGAAGCCTCCAAGTTCAGAAGCCGCCCCAGAAGTGTTGCTCGCTTGCTACTACTTGTTGCAATCTAGATGTTCATGCCGCGTTCATGCCAGGTGGCACAAGTTGTGACAGCGATGGGACTGTTCCGCTTTCAAGAGTCAACGTGATACGCGACAGCGGCTTGACAGGGCAGCTTCGAAAATAGCGTTGCCGTATGTGCTAGGCCGCTAGGCTGGGATGAAGTGCAGAAATGGGCAGCGGTGCGGTGTTCCTGCAGCTTTGATTTGCAGTGCAGCTACAGCCTACAGCTGCACGAGCCTGTCCAGGCTCCACATGACCATACACAGTCTCCACGAACCGGCAGGATTGCAGGGTGTTTCGCTTCGCGCACGCGAAGATTCCGCCGTAGAAAGCGCACGACGGGGAACCAGGCATCGCTTGGGTGGTGTTCTGTGTTGCATGCACCAATTTTGCAAGAAACTGGCATTTTTCACACACCATTATTGAGATGCGACATCTGCTTGTCATCGCGCAAAGGCATGCGACATCGCCTGGCAAAGCCATACGCCCGCAAAATCCTTGAAGAACTTAAGCCCCAAGCTCTAATGTTAACATGGCTTTCCTATAAACGGGGTGGGAATGATACTATTCGGCGGGCCCGGGGATCCCGGACCAAGACGACTTTCCGTTTGGGGACAGGTCTTTATAAGGGGGTCCGGTGAAATGAATAATGCGGTTACAATCATAGTTTTTTTTCGGCCAGGAGTCTAAAATTTTGCTCAAATTGCTTAAGAGTTCCACAAGAAACTGCTTTTTCATCCGAGCTGGCCAGAAACAGCTCCAGAAGCTTCAATAATAGGCGGTGATTGTTGAGGGAGCGTCGGCCTTGGAATTCACAGCTTGGAATCGCATGGGACTCAATCTGTAAGAGCCGGATGTGTCTTGCAAGCTGCTTGCAATCCATGGAGTTTGGTATGTTGTTTGGTATCTTGCGCTGGCGACGCTGAGCTTTAAGACTCAAATTGGAAGATGCCCTGAGCACTGAGACAAAGCAGCACTCAACTTCGGCCTTGAGATCTTCTCCAGACGTAGGGCCCATGATGCTTTTGGCCTTGTTTCTACAGGCAGGGTCTGGACACATCCACAGGAATTCGAGTCACTAGGCAGGTAGAACACGGACATGCAGGTCGGCAGCAGCCTGGGCCAGACGATGCAGGAGAGGAGCTACGAACATTTCGGTCTCCTGAACGAGCTGCGGGCTGCGCCCTGGCCTTTTGGGAGTGTTTGGCGCCAGTTACCAAGCAACAAATTCCAGCAAGCTGGGGTAGAAACACCATGAGACACTGTGAGACACCCGAGGCGGGCTTCACTTGTCCCGGAGGCAACTCGTATGCCCCAAACGACGTGCCTCTGAAGTTCGACTGTCGCTTGTGGAAGGCGGCCCAACTTCACTCCCAGGCCTGGCTCAGAAAGCTATAAAACACTGAGGGTTTATGGCCGAGTATAAGTTCAGAAGCAGTAGCCATGTGTTGATTGCAGGACATGGCTGACAACGGCTATTTCTCCCACACGAGCCAAGATGGGCGAAGTCCTTGGGATCGAGCCGAAGCCCAAGGCATCAGCGCCTCGGCCGGTCGACGTTTGCGCTGCCTTTGCTTGGCGCCTTGCCTGCCAAGGTGCCAACGGCGAGAACATTGCTGCAGGGCGCAGTGGTGCTGCCAATGTCTTGGACCAATGGAAGAACTCGGATGGGCACTGAAGCCTGGCATCATGTGGCATTGCTTTTGGTTGCAAGGAGAGCAAGAAGGGCTTGTCAAGCATCAGAACATCGATAAAATGACATGGGCTATCAGCAAAAAGCGAAGCCAAGGCAAAAACATGATGAATCCGAGCTTCCTCGTTTTCGCGGTAGGCGATCTTGACCTGCACGGTCTGCACTGCAAAGCGGCTTCATTTCTAGAAGTGCTGCCTCAGGCTATGCGTACAACGCAGACGCAAGATACCGACACTATTGGACCCAAATGTTCAAAAGATCAGACGTCTCTGATCTCGACACCTCATGCTACATTCCCGAGGCCACCACGACTCCCACCACACCTGGACCTACCACCACCACCAGCACCACCACCAGCACCACCACCAGCACCACCACCACTGCTGCCAGCACCACCAGCGCCACCAGCACCACCGCTGCCTCGGCCACAAGTGCCACTGCAACGGAAACCAGCGCAGCGCCAGCAAATGGAAATGCTACTACAACAGGGGGCACTACAAGCTCCACTGACACAGGGTCGAATGCGACGGATATGCCGGAAACATCATCCACATATGACATGGAACTGACGACTGCCGCAGCAATCAATGCAAGCGTCACCGTATCGACGTCCACAACAGCAAGCCAGGCCGGCAGGTTGCAGAGATGGTTGCAGGTCCGACGCAAGGGAGTTAAATGTACTGCAGTGAGTTGCTGAAGGTCGAGACATCAGGCACGGGCCCTTCAGGCTCGGAGCTCCCATCAGTCACAACAGCCGAATATGCAGCCAACCAGCACAGCTTGCTGAGTCTCGGATGCATACGAACCCCTTCCACGAGCTTTGTCCCCATTCCTTCTTGCAATGCAAGGAAGGGTCAGATCGTCGTGCGCACCTCCCAGTCAGCTGCCTTCGCCGTTTCTCCGGAGCTTCGCGAAGTACTGCGAGTCTTTATCCAGCACCTCGTCAGAAATTTCGTTGCAGAGGCCACATGAGAAACACATGCCTGCTTTTTGTGTAGATGTCTTTCAAATTGGGCACACGCATCATGGCGAGGCGCTTGGGCGGCGGGCTGGTGCAGGCTGCCGGTAGAGGGCAAGAGCTTCACAGAACTTCCCTGTGCAACAACAGCGACATGAGAGAGAGTGTGACCCCACCAACTCTATAGCCCCTTAGAATGAGGGAGAGCGAGCTGCGAGATGTGAGCGTCAGCGAAGCCCGGGGCGTGCTGAGCACAGCAGCTTTCGCCCTGTGCCCCTGAGCCCCTGAGCTTCTAAAGACTCGAAGCTTCCATGAACTGTGTAAAAACAGTTTGGCGGTCGGCGAAGCGCACAGTCACCAAGTCCCAGTTGCAAAAGCGAAGCGCACAACGCGCTTAGTTTTCACTTGCATCATCTCGCTCCAACCTGAAGTGCGGCTGCAGGAGGCAGTGTAAGAAACTTTGAATTTGGAGCCTTGTGATACAGAGAAGCCCCTTAAAATTGCGCTTTCTACGGGTGCGAGCAAGATGAAACCCAAACGCTTGAGGTGTTCGGCGCGTGTGTTGTGGGAAGATTTGTTTTTGCATTGTCTCCAAGATTCGGTCCGGTCGTGTGGTCCCACTCAGAACTCCGAGCTTATAGGGATGCGAGTGCGTGTGCGCTGCCGGTAATGCTAGTATCCTGTCAAAGACACACACACACACAGACACACACAGAGGCAGTATGTGACCGAAATCATTTTCCAAGAAGCCCCCATTGTGTGCAGACCCATGATGACCACACAAGCCCCAGGCCGAACAGGATCCTTACACAGGAGACCAGCAGCGGCTAGCAGCCGAAAAAACCCCGAGTGGTATAGATCAAGGCCCTTTCAATGAGCCAGGCTGTCTTCTTCACAGCCCGACGACTGCGACGCTTGCAGGGTGCAGATGTGACCATCTCCTTCACAGCAGAGGTATCGTCTTTGCTGTTGCTTTCTGGAGCCGAAAGTTATTCCGCGTGCGTGCCACCTGAATTCGGCATGGTCATTCCAGCCACGCCTGTCGCAACACCACGCTGCGTTCCTCTGATGGTTTCGCATTTTCTTGCCGGGTTTGTTTCTTGGGAGGTTTCTGCTGGGCGCGCGGCCGAGGCGGCCGCAAAGCTCCAGGTGGCTCCGGACGTGAGCCAAGCTGCCCTTGTGGCAGCTGCCGCAGAGGCCGGGGGGGGAGGTGTCAAGGTATGGTGCAGGTACTCGAGTTTGAGTCATGAAGGGACGACTCCTGAACAAAAGGGGGGCAGCTTGTTGATGTGGAAATGGAGGTGGGCGTCCAGGAAGCGATCGAGGCGGGGCCTCTCTGCCCCAATGGAGACAGTGGGTGCTTGTGTGGCTCGTGTGGGGTGTGAATGCAGGTACAGTCCGTGGAGGTCACCGAGGTCTTGGAGGCCGAAATCCCGGATCCAGAGCCTGCGACGGCCGCGGGCTGGCTCGCTGCACTCATTGCAGGCTCTCAGATAAGCAGATATGCGAGTAACAGCGAGCAGAAGATCGGGGAGCTTTGTTTCGCAGACCTTGCTCCTGTGGTGTTCAAGCAGCAGCGGTTTTCAAGTCCTGCAGGTGTTGTGCTGATCGTTGCAAGCGTCCTGGGCGCATGGTGCTGGTGCAATCGCCGAAGACACGGGAAATCCACTGCAAGCCAAGGTGCGGCTCTTGTGTGACTGAAATCCACCACTCACAAAGTACTGTAGAGATCATGACCACAGAAGGCCCTTCAGATCCGGGAGCGCAGGCGCACCCCAAGAATTGGGCAAGGTCGACAGCATGCGGCACAAGTGGCAAGCATTCCTTGTTCTTCTTTACTCGGAGGCGCCTCCGATGAGCCTTCCTGACTTCCCGGGAGGCGCGATTAAAGAACTCAGAAGCAGGTGACATTTCTTGCACAATAGTTTAAACTTTGGCTTCTTGGCCATCTGCCTCAGGACCACAAGATCTGCACAAATCGCGGTCCAGCAACATGATAATATCGCAGCTCTGAGATGTGCACATGCGCGCTTCGCACCACTTGGAAGGGAGACTGCCAGGCTTTGGTGCAAGTTTGGGCGCAGCAGTCGCCCTCGCCGACCGGCAGCCCCTCGTGTCTAGCAGGTCTCAGAGATGGTGCATTTGAGTAGAGTTCCGTTGAAGAAATGCCCTCCTTAGGGGGGCAGGTTTTCGACACAAGTTGCCTAGTGTACAGCTCGTGGCTTCCTGTACAGTTGGAGCAAGCGGGAGCGCCTCGCCTCGTAGATGTGACGCAGCCCCCATCCAAGCAGTTCCATCCAGCATGAGCCACAAAAGGAGGATCGGACAAAGTGCTCAGAATGCCAAGATGGAAACATGCCCGCTTAATGAAGTCTGTGTGCCATGTTTGAGGGCTGAGTTCTGATTCGCTCTGCGCCAGTTGGTCCAAATTTGATGACAGCCCTTCACCCCCAGCACATGAGTGCCTCGATGCCTCAGCTCTACAGTATCCGGCGAGTCGAACTTAAAGTATGTAGCTCCGAGCAGCTTACTTGTGCTGATAAACAAGCACAGAGTTTCAAAGTTCCCATGGCCGTCGCCAAGATTTTGGCAGCAGCCAACCCGTTTGCTCGTTTGGAGCTGGAGCCCGAGGCAGTGGACGTGGCAGTGGTGCGGAGCCATTACCGGCGACTGGCCCTGGCAGTGCATCCTGACAAATGCAAGGAGTTGGCAAAGAAAGGGCAAGTAGAGCTACAGAACGATTTTGTAAGTGAGTAAATTATTGAAACGTGCATTTAGGTGGTGACCCATGTTGAGAAGGACATGATTTTCCGGTCTGATTGCAGGAGCCGCAGGCCAAGGAGGCATTCCAGGCCCTCAGCGAAGCCTTCGAGAAGCTGTCATCGACGGTGGGCCAGGCGCAGTGCCTCAGAGAGGCGGGGTTGCAGGCCAAAGCAGCCAAGGCAGCCAAAGTAAGCAGGGCAGCGAGGGCGCCGGGCGCACCGGGCCCGATGGGGGGACCCCCCACCGACGAGGAGCGGAAGGCGCGCTGGTGGGACACCAAGACTTGGGAGGAGTTCGAGGAGCGTTTGCGGCACCGCGAGCGTGCCGAGGCGGCCCTGCGCCTGCGCTACGAGGGCGGTCTGCGCCTTCGCTTCAGCACGCGGAAGATGCGGGAGCACGTCCGGGCGGCCGAGCGTTCGGTAGAGCACCTGGATCGGAACGCTGGGATGACGGAGAGCCCGCTTTGGCCGCCAGAGTCCACACAGGCGGCACGGGAAGTGGAGGAGGAGGTGGCCAAGGCCCGGCAGACCGAACCCTGGCCGGGCGCAGCCAACGAGCTACTCCCCAATTACAACGAGCGCCTTGAGCTCAATGACCCAGCCCTCGCTCTCCAGAGGCTCCTGGAGCTCCTTACGCACCTCCGTGCTGTGCACCGCTACTGCCTCTTTTGCGGGTGCACCTATGATTCGGCCAAGGATATGGATGAACATTGCCCGGGCATCACCGAAGAGGAGCACGAGGAAGAGAACATCCCAGCCCGTGATGCTGAGGAGAAGGAGGCTGGTGAGGCTGGCGAGGACCCGCTCGAGGCCTACATGGCCTCGATCGATGCAGAGGCCGAGCAGCAGCGACAGAAGGGCAAGCGCAAGAAGAGGCCTTGAACTGACAAAAGACCAAGAGAGGTGCACTCAGCATGCCATCGTCTAAGTCTGTCTTGCTATTTTCGACATCTCCTGTCTTTCGCTGCGCCGAACGTCAACCCCGCAGGGCGCGACGGCTCAACAGCTCAGGACTCTGATATGTGGACAGGCATGGAAGGCCTCAAGACTGCAGACTCAAAGAAGGGCTTCAGAGGAGTAGCTCCGTAGCTATTGTTTTCGGGCGCAGCCAACAATTTGCACCAGCATTCTAAACAGCATCGCGATGGTGCGCTGGGCCTTTCTGCTTGCCTGGGTCGCTTGCCCCGTCGCAGCAGACTGGGCACGCCTGAGTAGATGTGCAATGCGAGCTTTGTCTGGGCATGTTGGGGATCGTCACAATAGGTTATTGTAGATGAATGTGAATCTTCATCTCGGAGGATCTCGGAATCGTGCGAAACCCTGAAAGCAAAGAAACAAACTCATGCTCGTACTCTCAAGCTAATAGCCCTAAGCTTTAGCTGTGCACGGCACCATGACACCATGAACGCTTATCAAACAACTTCCTAGGAAGGCCTCACGGCTGATACTGCCTCCTTCCCCGCTCCGGCCAGGGTCCAACTTCTGCCTAGGGGCGGGTATGTGAGGTTGTTGGGGTGCTCTTTGGGTGTGGGGGCTCGGGGACCAGGAAAATTCTCCGATGTTGATTTTGGGAGGCTTTACAAATCTGACGGTGGCGCGACATGACTTGTTGTCTGCTGGTTTGGAGGATATCTGCGGAGACAAAGCTTCAGTTTTGCTTACGGCAGGCACTCCTGAACTTGATACGTCATGGTGAGCGTTATGCCGACAAGTCCATCACCTTCTTGGCCCCAGCTGGCAAAGACCGGGCACAATACATTGCGCGTTGCGCCAGCGAACCTCGGCTTCGTTGAGTCGTCCATTAAGTATGAGGAATCTTTTGGGAATAGAAGGTAGGTTAGTTATCATGGGCTAATTTGAGGTATAGTTGCAGTAGAAAGCCAAATATCGAGCTCGCTTTTGCTGAGGGCCAGGCGCCCACCCTGGCCTTCCCGCGTGGTCCACCCTCGGCCCTGCTGGCGGGGAGGCGCCAGCAACTCGTGGGCCACAACTCCACACGGCCTGCTGAGACCCTGCAACCCTTGGCTAGGACACCCGGCAGAGATTTAGACAAAGTGTGAAAGGCACGCGCGCATGCGCGCACGCTTCCACCCACACACACACACACCCACGCATCGCGTGCTGTACGCACTTGTACCTGATGGCATTCGAGACATGCTGAAAGTGAAATCGCTGCCTTGTGCGACGACATTCACGGGTTTGAACTGGTGGGGTGGGAAGGCGGCTGCAGCGAACAATGCCAGTCGAACATCCTTTAATATCTTAGGTGGACTCCAGCAACAATGAGCTCAGAGAAATGCAGCGGCGACCTGCGAAATTCTTCTTATATGAACTTGCGCTTGTTTGGTACAGACTGTCGTAGAGTCAGCTCTCAATTTTGTCACGACAGAACTATGCCCGAAGCTTTGGGGGATCACGGCCGTTCGGACCATGTCTGTGGGTGGAAGAGGTATCCTTGGAGCAACCTGTGGCAGACTTGGCGTACTGTCAGTGCTCGAGCCCAGGAAGTCTGGAATCCGACTGGACAACGACGTAGCTTGGCCCGGGAGACATGAGACATGTGCAGTGCAGCAGGCTGTGGGTTGTGATGTCGTTGGCGAGTCGTTGGCTCAGGTGCATTTCAAAGATGTGCCTGGCTTTGTCAGTTACTTGCACAAACTGCCCAGTGGAAGCACCGTTCTCGTCGCATGGGAGCACAAGATGATTGGCCAGCTGGCCCGAGCTATTGACCCACAGGGCTTGGCACCGGAAAAGTACCCAGACCATTGCAAGTCGGAGTGGACGGAGCCAGAGTACACGGAGGGTGCTTGCTATGATGTGATCTGGCAGTTCGTGTTGCATCGTGCCCATGCGTCAGAGAGCTGGGAGGCCAAGGGCTTCTCCCATCTGCACATGGGTTTTGGAGGCCGCGATTCCTCCTGCACGGAAGCCTTCCAGCCCTTCTCCAATCCCACCAGCTGGCTTGGAAGTTCCGAAACTTCCGAAACTTCCAGCACGAGGCTCATCGACAACACTGACAGCACCACCGGCGCATTGCTTATGTTGGTCAGCTTTGGCTCCCTCCTCTTCCTCGCTGTCGGGCGTCTTGGCCTCCTCCACCAATCTCTTCGCCCAGGTTCAGAGCGCGGTTTCGGGAAAACAGGGACTGAGCCGCTCCTCGACACCCCGGCGGAGAACTACGTCACGGTGTTTTGAGTTGGTGAATTTGGGCTTCTCGGGTACAGTCGGCAGAGCCCTTGTCGTCTCTTCGGATCTCGCCCCTTCAGCTGGTTAGTTCAGACCTCGGACCTTCTAAAGAAGGATCCCTTTGCAACAAGTGCCTTGCAGGGAAGGCTTAGGAGGCCCCTGTACAGTGTAAAACGCAAAAATCTTCTGCCTCTGGCTGGTGCCGCTTGACTGAAAAATCAGGAAGTCGGTGCCGCCGCTCTGCCTTTGATTCAGAGGCTTATGCTGCCGAGCAACTGCATTTCTTGCTTTTGCCACCAGCGTTGTTAGTCTGAAGTAGTTACTTGTTGATATCACTTGAAATCCATGCAACTGCTGGAAGTGCATAGCTCGCCCTGCATTTGTTGCGATCTTGTATGGTTGACAGTTGAAGGACTTAACAGCTAAGGCAAGGGCCACGGCTGCAGCAATCTCAGCGCCCGTCCCTTGCGCGACTCCGGAAAGAAAGCAGCGCGTGCATTCAGGATTGGCTAGGCCAAGAACATGAAAGGCGCTTTTCACTTTTCCAGGGGCTTTCCGAGTGTTCAGTTTGTCGGGCTTCTCCAGTGGCCGCATTCTTCTACCTCGGAGAGTCGTTCCAGTCAGCAGTCGCTCAGTTGATGCCCAATGTCCAGCTGCACTTGCAGCGACACAAGCTGCCACTTGTGTACTTCCCACTAAGCCTATAGCCTATAGTGCCTGGACGCGCCATGGGTTGCGGCGCATCTTCCGCAACATCAGTCTGCTATGTCCATCCGAGCTGGACCTCATCTGGGTCTACCAAAGTGCCGGCGCTTGACCAGGGGGGACATGTGAACTGCCTCATTATTGGTGCCGGGTTTTCGGGCCTGTCTTGTGCCAACGAGATCTGCAAACACAACAAAGGGCTGTCGGTCCACATCCTGGAAGCATCTGACCGGATTGGAGGCCGATGCGTCACGGACAAGGATGGGGTAGACCTCGGCGGGCAGTACGTGGGCTACAAGCAGCACCACGTGCTCCGACTTGCGGAGGAGATGGGGACCACGGCATTCAAGATCTACAAAGAGGGCGAGGCCCGGTTTATGTTTGGCGGCCCCAGCCAGGCGTGGGATGACGACCTGCCGCCTTTGCCTGGACAGGGCCAGCAGTACGTGCAGAGGCTGTACACCGAGTTGGACAAGCTTGCGAAGAGCATCAACTTTGAAGAGCCCGAGCAGACGAAGATGGAGGCCCTGGACAAGACCACCTTCCGTGACTGGTGCCAGCAGGTGTGCCCAGGAATGGACCGTGATGCGGTGAACGCCCGCAACGTACTGGAGAACATGTTCGAGGGGGGTGCCTGTGCAGACGCCTCGCAGTTCTCCGTTCTGGGAGTGGCGTATCAGGTACACTCGGAAGGCGGGCTGAGAGCCATGATGTCAGGGGGGATCGAGGACCACAAGATTGCAGGTGGAATGGGTGGACTCTGCGAGAGGCTGTGGAAGAGCCTGCCTTCTGACCTTGTCTCGCTGAAGTCCCCCGTGAAGTGCATCGACTACACAGACACTGGCAGCAAGGGTCCGGTCAAGATCACCTACCAGCGGGCTGACGGCAGCACGGCCAGCGTGACCGCCGACTACGTCGTGCTGAGCACACCGCCGAATCAGACGTTGAAGATCGAGTTCCAGCCACCACTGCCGCAGATGAAGGCAGAGGGCTGGTCCCAGTGGCCGATGGGGCAGGTGATCAAGACCGTGGTCCAGTACAAGACACCATGGTGGCGCAACAAGGGCCTCAGCGGAGAGGCCTCCTGCGATGTAGGCCCTGTCACGAACTCCATGGACGACAACATCGCTAGCGACACCCTGCCGGCACTGCTGGGGTTCATCCCCGGGCGCCTGGCGCTGCAATGGGGCCAGGCGACCTCTGAGGAGCGCAAGAATGCCGTGCTGCAGCAGTACGCGCAGATGTACGGGGACCAGAGGGCGATCACGGAGTGTGTGTGCTACAAGGAGAAGAACTGGGCGGACGAGCCGTACATTGGCGGCGGCTACGGCTGCGTAGCGCTGCCCGGCGCCACAGTCAAGTACCCGTTCGATCAGCTGTTTGCCCCGATCGCCGATGAGAAGATCCGCTTTGCGGGCAGTGACTCCAGTGACCACATGGGCGGGTATGTGGATGGAGCGATCAAGGCGGGGGAGCGTGAGGGACGGAATGTGCTGGTGTGCCAAGGCCTGCTCCCGAAGTCTGAGTACAACAACTACAAGGACCCTGGCTCCTCCAAGCTGATCAAGAAGAGCATCTTCAAACCCGGCTTGGAATCCATTGCAGCGCTCCTCTGGGAATATCTATGAGTCGCAGAGAACGCTCAACGTCCGCATGTCACTGCACCACCGATGTAATTCATGACTTGCACTCTTGCGTGCAGGAGTTTTGTGTGTAGGACCGTAGGAGTCTTGTGCAGCTTTTCCTTCTCGAGCTCCAAAGCCACTTGTGGTGAACACTCCCCCCCCCGGTGGGAAGCGAGAGGTATCTGCTCGCACCCACCCAGACCAGAACTTCTCCGCGAAAGCGGACGAAAGCGTGTCACAGAACGGGTGGTGCAGCTAGACTTGGTTTGCAGTGCGACAGGCAATCTGCTTTGTTTAGTACTTTCGGTTTCGCCCTCGCAAACACTCAAAATGCTGCCTTAAATCGATCACAGGAGACAGTCGGGAGACATACAACCCGAAGCAGAAGATCCAAACCCCACGAACGCATATAGCTAAGTATCACCACTCGTTCCCTTGAGCCCGGACAGCACCTGAAATACCAACTGATGGTAGCGAAGCATCACTACCTTTTCCTTTCCAGAATTTTCTTCAACAACCCCAATTCTACATCGTGTAGCGAAGCATCACGAAACTCCCCAAGATAGGTTGAAACCTAACGCAGTGTAACGTAGTGTCAGTATTCCTCCGTTTCTACAAAGTGACAGAACTGACAAACGGAAGTGTCCCGGTACGTCGGCCGGATAGCCAACTCTTGTTGCCCCACTTGCCTTTCCGGAAGAGCTGGTTGATTTTGCCTCCCTCACTTGCTCGTGCCCACTTGCCCTATTTTGGACCTCTTCGTGTTCGGAAGGCTACACGGTATAGGTAGGGCAAGCGAGGCCACTTTGCACACTGGGCTAACTATGCGAACCAAAGTCCCCCCCCTCGTCTGCCCTCTATATCACGACCTGTGTCTTTCGTGAGACAAGGCAAGGCCCCAGCCTGTGTGTCAAGCCCGGTGTCTTTCGTGGGTCCACATGGCAAGGCCCCAGACTGTATGTCACGCCCTGTGTCTTTCGTGGGTCTACATGGCAAGGTCCCGACTGTATGTCACGCCCGCCTGTGTGTCAAGCCTGGTGTCTTTCGTGGGTCCACATGGCAAGGCCCCAGACTGTATGTCACGCCCTGCGTCTTTCGTGGGTCTACATGGCAAGGCCCCAGACTGTATGTCACGCCCGCGTGTGTGTCAAGCCCGGTGTCTTTCGTGGGTCCACATGGCAAGGCCCCAGACTGTGTGTCAAGCCCGGTGTCTTTCGTGGGTCTACATGGCAAGGCCCCAGACTGTATGTCACGCCCGCCTGTGTGTCAAGCCCGGTGTCTTTCGTGGGTCCACATGGCAAGGCCCCAGACTGTATGTCACGCCCTGTGTCTTTCGTGGGTCTACATGGCAAGGCCCCAGACTGTATGTCACGCCCGCCTGTGTGTCAAGCCCGGTGTCTTTCGTGGGTCCACATGGCAAGGCCCCAGACTGTATGTCACGCCCTGTGTCTTTCGTGGGTCTACATGGCAAGGCCCCAGACTGTATGTCACGCCCGCGTGTGTGTGTCAAGCCCGGTGTCTTTCGTGGGTCCACATGGCAAGGCCCCAGACTGTATGTCACGCCCTGTGTCTTTCGTGGGTCTACATGGCAAGGCCCCAGACTGTACGTCACGCCCGGTGTCTTTCGTGGGTCCACATGGCAAGGCCCCAGCCTGTGTGTCAAGCCCGGTGTCTTTCGTGGGTCTACATGGCAAGGCCCCAGACTGTATGTCACGCCCGCCTGTGTGTCAAGCCCGGTGTCTTTCGTGGGTCCACATGGCAAGGCCCCAGACTGTATGTCACGCCCTGTGTCTTTCGTGGGTCTACATGGCAAGGCCCCAGACTGTATGTCACGCCCGCCTGTGTGTCAAGCCCGGTGTCTTTCGTGGGTCCACATGGCAAGGCCCCAGACTGTATGTCACGCCCTGTGTCTTTCGTGGGTCTACATGGCAAGGCCCCAGACTGTATGTCACGCCCGCGTGTGTGTGTCAAGCCCGGTGTCTTTCGTGGGTCCACATGGCAAGGCCCCAGACTGTATGTCACGCCCTGTGTCTTTCGTGGGTCTACATGGCAAGGCCCAGACTGTACGTCACGCCCGCTTGTGTGTCAAGCCCGGTGTCTTTCGTGGGTCCACATGGCAAGGCCCCAGACTGTATGTCACGCCCTGTGTCTTTCGTGGGTCTACATGGCAAGGCCCCAGACTGTATGTCACGCCCGCCTGTGTGTCAAGCCCGGTGTCTTTCGTGGGTCCACATGGCAAGGCCTGTGTCTTTCGTGGGTCCACATGGCAAGGCCCCAGACTGTATGTCACACCCTGTGTCTTTCGTGGGTCCACATGGCAAAGGCCCCATACTGCATGTCACGACCTGTGTCTTTCGTGGGTCCACATGGCAAGGCCTCTGCCTGTATGTCATGCCCTGTGTCTTTCGTGGGTCCACATGGCAAGGCCCCAGCCTTTATGTCACGCTTGTGTCTTTCGTGAGTCCACATGGCAAAACCCCAGCCGGTATGTCACGCCCTGTGTGTTTCGTGGGTCCACATTGCAAGGCCCCAGCCTGTATGTCACGCCCTGTGTCTTTCGTGGGTCCACATGGCAAGGCCCCAGACTGCATGTCACGCCCTGTGTGTGTCGTGGGTCTACATGGCAAGGCCCCAGCCTGTATGTCACGCCCTGTGTCTTTCGTGGGTCCACATGGCAAGGCCCCAGCCTGTATGGCACTTTCGCGTCCACATGGCAAGGCCCCAGACTGTATGTCACGCCCTGTGTTTTTCGTGGGTCCACATGGCAGGCCCCAGCCTGTATGTCACGCCCTGTGTCTTTCGTGGGTCTAGGCCCCAGATAGTATGTCACGCCCTGTGTCTTTCGTGGGTCCACATGGCAAGGCCCCAGCCTGTATGTCACGCCCTGTGTCTTTCGTGGGTCCCCATGGCAAAGGCCCCAGCCTACATGTCACGCCCTGTGTCTTTCGTGGGTCCACATGGCAAGGCCCCAGCCTGTATGTCAGACCCTGTGTCTTTCGTGGGTCCACATGGCAAGGCCCCAGCCTGTATGTCACGCCCTGTGTCTTTCGTGGGTCCACATGGCAAAGGCCCCAGCCTGTATGTCACGCCCTGTGTCTTTCGTGGGTCCACATGGCAAGCCCCAGCCTGTGTGTGGGTCCACATGGCAAGCCCCAGCCTGTATGTGGGTCCACATGGCAAGGCCCCAGCCTCTATGTCACGCTCTGTGTCTTTCGAGAAAAGGTGTAGGAAGGCTTGGACTGAGTTCTTCATGTTTGGGAAGTGTGTCCTCCGTCAGTCCACTAGAGGCCAACGCCCCGCCCAGTCCTATCGCTTCACTCAATCTCTCTTGTTGAGGTGGAAAGCAGGGGATCGTTGTGGTCTCTGGTTGGAGGCGGTTGCTGCTGCGGCACGCCGCAGTGGTCGTCCTAGCGGCGGTAGACGTCCTGATAACCAGCTTCACAAGGAAATTGAAAGACTGGTTTCTTTAGGGCGTACTAGCGAAGCTGCTCATCAATTAGTTGCTCCGGGCTTAGCTGCTGATACGCCGATGGTTCGTAGCAAGCTCTTGGCCAAGTTCCCGACACGGCAGGAACCACCGATAGATTTTCAGGGAATAACGCCGCCGCCTGACATTTCCATTGATGGCGTGTACCAGGCCCTCAACTCTATGAAACGAGGGGCTGGACCGGGGCCAGATGGTATCCGGGCCGATTTTCTGAGGGAGTTGATGGGTCATGAAGGCTCTTGTGAATAAGCAGGATTTGCTTTAGTGTCCCACTCAAATAATGCTTCCTCACAGAACGAAGAGACATTTTTTGACACGGTCTTTTCGCACAACGGTGCAAAAAGAGGGTGGTTTAAGTAAATTGAGATGTTTATCCCTTTGTTGGACTAGACATTTTTTGACACGGTCTTTTCGCACAAGGACCAAAAGCCTTTTGTGTCTCGGAAGGGCGGGAGACCACTAGCAAGTGCCCCAGAACGATGAGGGGGGACTCAGAGGGCTTCCGCAAGGGTTCCTTGGAATTTGTTTTCTCCCACCGCGCTTTCCAAGGAACGCCCTTCCTAGGAGCGACAAAGGAACCTGTTGGCTGTAGTTTCGAAGCCAAAAACCCTGCATTTCGCATGAACCCGACCCGCCCAAGGAACATAGCACTACAGGGAACACACGGCACTCTTTGCATCCTAAGGGTTTAGGGTTTAGGGTAACCCTAAACCCTATGGGGTTTAAGTCTCTTTTTATAAGACTTTAGGGCACGGGCAACTAGTTGAAATTTCGAAAAACCTGAAATTAAGACACGGTTTTCAATACTAAGACGAAAGTAAGACAAACTTGGAGTTTTCGCGCAAAAGCAGCCGTAGGGTTTTTCGTATGTCCCCTCCCTTAGTTTCCAAAAACGGTTCTTAATTTCGTCTTACTTTCGTCTTAGTTTTCTAAACCGTGTCTTAATTTCGTCTTACTTTCGTCTTACTTTCCAAAGCCATGCCTTAATGTCGTCTTACTTTCGTCTTAGTTTTCAAAACCGAATACTAGTACGAGCATTAGTACTAGTAGTACTAGTAGTAGTAGTAGTAGTACTACTACTACTACTACTACTGCTGCTGCTGCTGCTGCTGCTGCTGCTGCTACTACCCTGCTACTGCTACTGCTACTGCTACTGCTACTGCTACTACTACTACTACTACTACTACTACTACTACTACTACTACTACTACTACTACGGTGCAACCCTATGGTTTGCCCGCGCTTGTTTTTGGAAGGTACATAAAACATGCGCAGGCGCAGCGTTTCTGGCCTTTGCCGGCCTTTCAACAGTGTTCTTTTTTTCGTTTTTTTTCTTCATAAACGACGACCCTCTGCGGGTTTCCCTGCGTTCCGGACTTCGCAGAACCCTATGGTTTGCCCGCGCGCGCGTCTTACGGTTTGGGCTTTGGAGTGTTTCAGGCACGAGTCCAGCACGAGGGCTTCGGTGTTTTGTCGTCCTGGGCTTCAAGGAAATAACACTGCTTTCGGGCGTGGGTTCAGGGTTGAGGCGTAAGACAGTTTACGGTTTGCCCGCGTCTTCTGCTTGTGGGCAACGAACAGCCAAAGCCTAAACCTTAAACTCCAGAAGTTCTTGGTCCTATTTCATAGCTCAGGATTTCGCAGACGACTCGTCTTGTGGCCACTACACTACTGACGCAGTCCCGTGCTTGTTGGGTCGCGCGGCCACAGGTCCGCGGTCTGCAGAGGCGGACACGGCCCTGGCATACGGGAAGCGGGGCGCAGACGCTGGCCACCTGCTTCGGAGGCAGAAAGAAAGCCTCCTCAGCGAGCTGCCCAGCGTCTGCGCCCCGCTTCCCGTATGCCAGGGCCGTGTCCGTCTCTGCAGACCGCGGACCTGTGGCCGCGCGACCCAACAAGCACGGGACTGCGTCAGTAGTGTAGTGGCCACAAGACGAGTCGTCTGCGAAATCCTGAGCTATGAAATAGGACCAAAAACTTCTGGAGTTTAAGGTTTAGGCTTTGGGCTGTTGGGTGCCACATGGTTCATGCTGACATGCTGCGGCAAGAGCTGATTCAAGCATGTTTGTCCAAACCCATGCTTGACCATTGTGTGTGGGCAAACCACCCGGTTGGGGCGTACTACTACTGCTACTACTACTACTACTACTGCCACAACTACTGCTACTGCTACTGCTACTGCTACTGCTACTACTACTACTACTACTACTACTGCTGCTGCTACTACTGCTACTATTATTTTCTTATCAATCGTACTTTCTTGCTTGTACTACTTACTACTATCATATAGTTACGCACTATTCGTATTTCTACAAATAAAACCCACTTACTAACAACCGTACTCTGTTCTACTGGTGCGTACTAATTGTAATAATTGTGCTTCCTGCGTCGTCGTCGTAGTTTTTGTTGATGCTGCTGCTGTTGCTACTGGTATTGTAAGTTTACTGCATTATATTATTTTCTTTGGGATATCCATGCGCCTGCCTCTTTCTGACAAGATTTTTTTGCCAATGGCACCGTCTTTCTTTGTAGGGGAGGCATGAAGTTCTCGAGAGCTTCTCGCCGCTTTTCCCATTCCGCAGGGCTCAAGCGTGAACGAGCGACCTTTTGCAGCACGTCTCCATGGACCACTGGAGGATCAAAAATTGTTACAGCCCAAGCACTTGACATACTTCCTTAACGGGGGACTCCTCAAATCCGTCAGCGTATGAGGGCCATGGATTGCCAGTGGCTCAGTTGCTCGGACGAGCATGCCAGCGGACCTTTGTTTTTCTGCTGCAACATTAGGATGCGTGCCTCAAGGTGCTTGTGTGTGGTCGTTGTGCGGCCTCTCTTGGTCAGTGTCTTGCGCTCAGCGACAGTAGGTTGACACGCATTTCGATGAAGATAGTTCTGCAAGCCAAGGAGTGAAACGACAAATGTGGAATATCTAGACAATCTGCAGCCTGAGCGGCTTGGTGTGAAGTGTGCGATGGCTCAAAGTTCTGTGATGCAGCGGCTCGTCATTGGTCGTGAGTCTGTGAGGCTGATCGAACATGTCTCCACGTTCGTCACTTGGACGGAGTTTTGCATGACTTTGAACAGTTACATGTGGGAATGTTCTGCGCAGAGTATTCCGAGACAGCAGATGATGGCAGCCGAGGTCAATAGAAGTATATAGAATCTAGAAGGTCATTTGAGGGCTGTGGTTGAAGTAAGCAAATAGGTTCACCACATATCTCTTGACGAAAACCTTTCGTGAATGCGCATAGAGCTGCGCTCCTGCGCTAGAAAGCTGGTGGAAGGTCAAGAGATTTCACGAGCGCGAGCAGTCAGGTCTCATTTTTCCCATTGCGGCAGGGATGGGCGACCGCGTCGGAGTACGCACGAGTACGCCCGAGTACGCACGAGTACGCCCGAGTACGCACGAGTACGCCCGAGTACGCACGAGTACGCCCGAGTACGCACGAGTACGCCCGAGTATGCACGAGTACGCCCGAGTACGCACGAGTACGCCCGAGTACGCCCGAGTACGAGTACGCACGAGTACGCACGAGTACGCACGAGTACGCCCGAGTACGCACGAGTACGCCCGAGTACGCACGAGTACGCAGTACGCCCGAGTACGCACGAGTACGCCCGAGTACGCCGAGTACGAGTACGCCCGAGTACGCCCGAGTACGCCCGAGTACGCCCGAGTACGCCCCGAGTACTACGCACGAGTACGCACGAGTACGCACGATTACGCACGAGTACGCACGAGTTTGTTTCAAAGCATGTGCATACATTGTTGGAAATCCATCATGCGAAAGTCGTGTTTGCAAAATGCGGGGGGAGGGGGGGGGGGGGGGGGCTCCCCAACCCCCGCTTTATTTTTAGCCGCGCAAGCTTGCTTCAACGCATATGCATACATTTTCGGCAACCCATCATGCGAGCATCGTGTTTGCAAATGGGGGGGCTCCCCCCCCCCCCAACCCCCCCGTTTTTTTTGAGCCAAGCAAGCTTGCTTCAAAGCATATGCCATATGCATACATTAAAATGTTGCAAATCCATCATGCCAGAATCGTGTTTGCAAATTTGGGGGCCTCGCCCCCCCCCCCCCACCCAACCTCCCCGCTTTATTCATACATTTTGAAAACCCATCATGCGAGAATCGTGTTTTGCAAATGGGGGGGGGGGCTGCGCTCCCTCCCAATCCCCTCCTTTGTTAAAAGCCGCGCAAGCTGTCTTCAAAGCATATACATACATGCCGTTCGTTCGTGCAAGTCCAACAAAGTAAACCCTATATTTGTTACGTAAGAAAACCTCTACAGCAAACCTCTATGCGTCTCTCTGGTTTAGAAGCCCTATGTGTCCTTCGATTTTAAACCTCTTTTCCTTTTGTTTGGAAAACTCTTTCTGTTTCTGTTGGTAGTACAACCTCTAGTTTCTTGTGTATTGCATAGGCAAACCCTCTTTCCCCGCTTTCTATGGATAACCTCTATCTCCTTTCACTTTTAACATGGTAAACTCCTACCTTTCACGGACAAAACCCTAAGTTTCCTTGGTATTTGAATAGGAATACCCGCATTCCCTTTGTATGTTAAGAATAGAACCTGTATTTCCTTTGTGCTCTATGCGGAAAACCTCTATTTCTTTAGATTTCAAGAGGAAAACCTCCATTCTCTTCGGATTTTGATGGGAAAACCGCTATTTTCTCTGGATGTTAATAGGAAAACCTCTTCTCTTTGGATTTTAATCGGAAAACCTCTATTTTCTTTGGATTTGAACAGGGAAACCTCTATTTTCTTTGGATTTCCTCTATCTTGCAATAGGGAGGCCCCCCCCCCAAAAAAAAAGGTTGAAAGGCAAAAAACAATTAAAATAATTCCTCGACCATAGGTCTACAGCAATGTAGACTTAGCAAGAACCCTGGATACCCTCACGCACGAGTTTGACCATCTGCAGACTCCCAGCGACCTTTGCCACGAAAAGGATGGCCATAGCTTCTTGTGCGGAACCCAAGTTTGAAGCACACAGGTTTTTCCTTTATTGGCCTCAAGGGGTTTTGGAAGAACCCAAGTTTGAAACATACAGGTTTTTCCCCTTTTATCCTTAAAAGGCTTAGGCATTGCCTGGGTAGGCCCTTACAGGGGGTTAAAATGAAGACAGGGGGGTGGGGGGGGGGGGGCACCCAGCGCATACTTGGCGCATACCCGGGCACCCGGCGCATACCCAGCGCATACCCGGGCACCCGGCGCATGCCCGGGCACCCGGCGCATACCCGGCGCATACCCGGGCACCCGGCGCATACCCAGCGCATACCCGGGCATACCCGGCGCATACCCGGGCACCCGGCGCATACCCGGCGCATACCCGGGCACCCGGCGCATACCCGGCGCATACCCGGCGCATACCCGGCGCATACCCGGGCACCCGGCGCATACCCGGACGGGCACCACCTACAATATTCGGGGTCGCTGTTTCCGTCCACTCTGATTTTTCCTACATGGGAAGCAGAAGGGACAACACCCCCGAACCTGAAAGTCAGCTACAGGAATACGGACACGGAACTCCAAGGACTTCCACTCCTTGGTTGGCACATTGCTTGTTGAAGCTTGTTGTGTACCTGACGTCGCACCAGCTTAACTCTCTGCAAAGCCGGATGGGTCTTTACAGGCTGTCACAGATCACAGGATTTCGTTTGGTTAACATGGGTTCAGGGTTCAGGGTTTGGGGTGTAGGGCAGCTTCAAGGCCTCCCCTTTTGTTGCAAGGGACACCGGGCGAAACACTTTTGTGAGCGATGTTGCTTATTCCGAATACAGGCTTTCGAATTCAATTTTTCTTGCATGCTGTTCAGTCGGTTGCCTCCCTTGCGTCGGACCTAAGGATACTATGCTCAGTTGTATCTTCAGTCCTGCCAGACAGAGCGGGTTGGGTTAATGATGGCACGGCTCCTTCATCACGAACGCTAGATACTTGAACCCTTATGCAGTCGGATCTCTGGGACTACTGTGGGATCATGAATGTGGGACCCTGACTAGCCCCCCCCCCCCCCAAACAGTCAGGGGACCCCGCCCCATTCATTCTTGGACCTCCCTGGACCCCAGACCCCCTCCTCTAATTTAGTATTCCTGGCCCTGCCCGACATGGATTTGGAAAACTTGACACAATTAGGTTGACCTGTACTAATCAGTGTCCCACATTAGCGAGTTGAAGTATCCCAGTTTGTTCATCGACGCACTTCTTCGCCAGGTAGATGCAACACCAATCCGTGCAACTGCATCCAAGTACTGCAAGATGCTGGATGCAGAGAGGCCGGAAGAATACATCTGTATTTCTGATTCGTGACTCTGCCAACTTGTCATATATGTTTCTACAAACCTTCTCCTGAACCTCTTGGGATCCCCAGAAAAACACCTGAACAGTTCCCGTCGAAGATCTTGTTAGGGGGCTGGGGCTATGGTTTTGGATGCCGGTTGAGGTTCCACGTGGGGGTCCAAACAGACCCACAAAAATCTGGCGCCATGCCTGCTATGCAAGAATGCCCGCTTGCAGGTTATGTGCCTTGCGACAAGACGAGCGAAGACTTCCAAAGAGAAGCCGCTTGCGCAAAACCGGGCAGTGCAAACACCGCTCTCTTTGGGATGCTTGGGATTCCTGGTGCAAGAGCTTTGGCTTGGGCTTGGGCGATTTGATCTTCACAGAGTGCATTCGCCCGTGTAAGATTTAGCGGCTGCGCTTTAGCGACTTGATCTTCAACGAGTGCCATTGCCCAGACGCTTCCTTGGATACATCTAGCTGGACAAGCACGTTCTGGCCGCAAAAGCATGCTCAGCGGCTGACACCTCGCTCACCTTCATGAACGAGTTGAGAGATATCTGCAGATCTGGGCTGGTATCGCTACATGGCGCTTGTTGCCCAACTGTTCATGGCCTTGACTGGCTAGAAGATTCCGCGCGTGGTCGGAAAATTCTGGCTTGCCGATTCTGACATGTTGCATCCGGTTTGTGATCTTGGATTCAGACATGTGGCAGCGTTGAGACGGCAACTTGCCAATCCTTAGCTCAAGCCCCCCTGCCGCAGCTGCAACTTTGATGCCATGTTGCGGAGGCTTGGAAGCAGTTTCGTGTTGCCGTCTTCCCAGTTTGCGTGGGCATTGCCAACAGCAACACTTGCAATCTTGCAGGTGTTGTTCTTTGTGCGGGCAGGCGGCAACATTCAGAACTGCACCATCATCGCTAGCAACCGTTCCATGGCATAATCTTTCATATGTAGCAAGTCGTCGTGTTCAATCCATGCGGTCATCATCGGTCATCCTGTCGACCATGACTTAATGTGGTGCCGTGCCAGCAGTTCGCGACTCGTGAACCGGGGCAACAAGAATCGAGATCAGACATGTTGAGCGCTGATCAGGTACCAAGCTCAGTCCATTGGTCCATGCAGCAGTGCAGTAGGATGCCCCTCACGTCAAGGTGCTGCGTCGGCAGGTCGCGACTCGTGAGCCGGGGCAACAAGAATCGAGATCAGACATGTTGAGCGCTGATCAGGTACCAAGCTCAGTCCATTGGTCCATGCAGCAGTGCAGTAGGATGCCCCTCACGTCAAGGTGCTGCGTCGGCAGGTCGCGACTCGTGAACCAGGGCAACAAGAATCGAGATCAGACATGTTGAGCGCTGATCAGGTACCAAGCTCAGTCCATTGGTCCATGCTGCAGTGCAGTAAGATGCCCCTCACGTCAAGATGCTGCGTCGGCAGGTCGCGACTCGTGAACCGGGGCAACAAGAATCGAGATCAGACATGTTGAGCGCTGATCAGGTACCAAGCTCAGTCCATTGGTCCATGCAGCAGTGCAGTAGGATGCCCCTCACGTCAAGGTGCTGCGTCGGCAGGTCGCGACTCGTGAACCGGGGCAACAAGCAAGGTGCTGCGTCGGCAGGTCGCGACTCGTGAACGGGGGCAACACGAATCGAGATCAGACATGTTGAGCGCCGATCAGGTACCAACCTCAGTCCATTGGTCCATGCAGCAGTGCAGTAGGATGCCCCTCACGTCAAGTTGCTGCGTCGGCAGGTCGCGACTCGTGAACGGGGGCAACACGAATCGAGATCAGACATGTTGAGCGCCGATCAGGTACCAAGCTCAGTCCATTGGGCCACGCAGCAGTGCAGTAGGATGCCCCTCACGTCAAGGTGCTGCGTCGGCAGTTCGCGACTCGTGAAGCTCAGTCCATTGGTCCATGCAGCAGTGCAGTAGGATGCCCCTCACGTCAAGGTGCTGCGTCGGCAGGTCGCGACTCGTGAACCAGGGCAACAAGAATCGAGATCAGACATGTTGAGCGCTGATCAGGTACCAAGCTCAGTCCATTGGTCCATGCAGCAGTGCAGTAGGATGCCCCTCACGTCAAGTTGCTGCGTCGGAAGGTCGCGACTCGTGAACGGGGGCAACACGAATCGAGATCAGACATGTTGAGCGCCGATCAGGTACCAACCTCAGTCCATTGGTCCATGCAGCAGTGCAGTAGGATGCCCCTCACGTCAAGTTGCTGCGTCGGCAGGTCGCGACTCGTGAACCGGGGCAACAAGAATCGAGATCAGACATGTTGAGCGCTGATCAGGTACCAAGCTCAGTCCGTTGGTCCATGCTGCAGTGCAGTAAGATGCCCCTCACGTCAAGGTGCTGCGTCGGCAGGTCGCGACTCGTGAACCGGGGCAACAAGAATCGAGATCAGACATGTTGAGTGCTGATCAGGTACCAAGCTCAGTCCATTGGTCCATGCAGCAGTGCAGTAGGATGCCCCTCACGTCAAGGTGCTGCGTCGGCAGGTCGCGACTCGTGAACGGGGGCAACACGAATCGAGATCAGACATGTTGAGCGCCGATCAGGTACCAAGCTCAGTCCATTGGTCCATGCAGCAGTGCAGTAGGATGCCCCTCACGTCAAGGTGCTGCGTCGGCAGGTCGCGACTCATGAGCCAGATCAACACAGATCGAGATCAGACATGTTGAGCGCCGATCAGGTACCAAGCTCAGTCCATTGGTCCATGCAGCAGTGCAGTAGGATGCCCCTCACGTCAAGATGCTGCGTCGGCAGGTCGCGACTCATGAGCCGGGGCAACAGGTACCAAACTCAGACCAGTGCATGCAGCGCCGCCTTGATTTGTCTCATCTGGAACAGGACGGGGAGTCCATGGATGAGCAAGTTGAGCGCAAGGCCCAGCGTGGTTTCAGGAAACGGCGCGTCGGCTGCGCACGAAGTCCAAATCAAGATGCCTGCGTGCGAGGCAGCGGCGAAGATGCTCCTGGCTTGTCGTGCTAGGCGCCTTGTATACCTACACACCAGAAGTCAAACGGGCAGCAGGTGGTTTGGGTTCTTGCTAACGCTAACGTTGGAAGCTTTTGCAACGCTCCAGGTGGCACGATGTCAGCTTCGGCGACGTCATCATCTTCAGACAAGAGAATCCACTTCATTACGGACATTTTGGGCTTGTGTTGGAGCCGCCAGTGCCTTCGTATGCGGGTACCGTAACGTTGCTGGCCTAGCTGCGTGGGTTTGTTGAGGCCCGAAATGAACCCGGCGGGTTTTTTTGAGGCCGTGTGCTCAGGACGGAGTGACCTCAGGTGCTGGCGAGGTCATGTCATCTGCGCTTCTTGGTACGCAGGCAATCACTGGTCTGAAGTACATGGAGAGTTCTTCAAATGAGGCCCAGTGCTGCATTCTCATACATGGCAAGGCTATCCTGAGCTCATGCTGAACCAGGATTGCCCGACATGGAATTATGTCTTCGTGGACATGGTGGAGCTGAAGCAGATTGGACAGCTGGATGACAACGACCGCGCATTTCTCAGACCTGACAAATCTTCCCACGAAACATGTTGCATGCGCTCGCTGGCAAAAGCGCTCGCCTCATCAACTCATTCGCCAAACTGGAGGCTTTAGTGCAACTACTCCGTCCACGGTGGAAATCTGGCAAGCGCCGCAGTGGCTGCGTGAAAACTTCAGCGAACAGCTGGCAAACAAGGTGCGGTTAGCTCAATTAGGCTGTGATTAATGCGATTGGTTTCCGAGGGCTTGGTTCGAATTATCAAAGATTTTGTTGGTTTTCTGGCAGCTGGCTTGGGCATCCGAGGGAACAGCTGTGGAGCTAGGTTATGCGGGTGGAGCTTCCTCCCCCCCCGCCCCGTTTCGCCCCACCACCCAACCATTCACCCCTGCTCTCTCAATCGCTCACTAACCTCACGCTTGCCAACCTCGCAATGTGCGCTTTGCGTGCCTAAGGTCATCGATGATATGATGGACTCGATGGGCCCGTGGAGTGCGCCCTCACAGTCGCAATGACGCGCGATGTGTGGGCTAATATGGCGCAGCCAAGGCTGGGCGACCCTGTGCTGCGCGATCGCTTCCCCTTGTCCTTGTTGCAATGAGCACGGGCCCCAACCTTTTTATTTTGCCGTGGCATGGATTGTATCAGATGTAAGGGCCTCGCCGCGTTCAGCCTTGGCATCATCGTCAACCGAGCCCATATGCACATCGCTTCCAGTAAAATTTTGGCAGTTGGCACTCAGATTATTTCAGCAACTGCATCACAACAGGCGTGAAAGTCCACGTGGGAGTGCAGCCCTTGCAGGATGTACATGGAAAGACATCTCCAGCAGGCAGCTTGCTGGCCTCGCGGTTGCTGTGATGTGCTATCTTTGCAATCACTCGAGCCGAGCAGCCCTGATCAATGTCAAGAGGTCCCGGACTGTCCTCTCACGAGGGCCTTGCCATGTCGCTTGTTGCCGGCGCACACTCGAGATGTGTTCGAAGGGCTCACGGCTCAGATTCACTCAGACAGCTACACCCAATAGGCATGCACAAGTGAATTTGCTCAGGTCTGGCTTCAGGAAGCTTGTGACAGTTATAGATTCTGAAACGCCGTAGTAGTCCTTCAATTCATCCCCAAAACCTAGGGCCAATCTGTTTTCTGCCCCAGCCAGCTCGTGTCGAGCTGTTGCCGGCTTTCGTTCAGTGCGTGACATCGCATTCAAACCAAGGTGACACTATGTGCTTATGCACCATGGGCATAGGTTGGTAAAGATGGACTTGTGACGAAAGTAGTGGCCCCTTCTGTGCAGAGAGAATTCCTGCATCTGTTATCCATGCATGCACCTCGGGACTACATGGGAGTGTCGCGGCCATCGGCGAAGAGAAAGCGCCGTCTCTCGAGTACCTTGCGGTTTTGCTGCACTTTCTGTACCAGGTTAAGTTTAGTTTAAGGCTACTGATTCATGTTATGTTTGTGCGTGCAATCAGCTTGGCTTGAGCTGCTTCGGGCCAACTTTTTGCGTCCCAAAAGGTCAGCGCGTGGCATCTTCGTTTTAACTGTGTGTGTGTGTGTGGGGGAATTATGTGCTTCAACATCATGAGTATTGTAGCACGGGTGTCGCGCGTTGCGCTAGTAGTAGATGTTTTTGTGTTTTGTTGTTGTAGTTCTTGTTGTTTTTGAACGAGGAGAAGGATGAAGAATAGCAGCAGCAGCAGCAGCAGCAGCAGCAGCAGCAGCAGCAGCAGCAGCAGCAGCGGCATTAGTAATAGTCGTGGTATTGTAGTAGGAGCCAGAGCGGTAGTGGTAGCCCAAGTGGTAGCCGCTGGGTACTGTGTGGCTCTGACGCTGACCTGGTACTTTCTCGTTGTACTTGAGCCGCTTGGGTACTCCTACCAGGCAGCAGGGCAGGTGGAATTTCCTATGCTTTTCAGCTGTCGTGATGTCTTCAGGCCGATACAGCAACAGCTACTGGTGGACATCCTCGTCGATCCGAGTTTCGCCCCAGTGCTTCACTCTCAACCGGTGCGGGCGTCACCGCTGCTCAAGCGTTGGTGCTCCTTGCTTAGAGTTGCAGACGGTATCGACTTTTTGCAGCATGCTTGCTCACGACGCTCAGCAGAATTAGCGGATCAAACGAGAGAGAGGTGCGCTGGTGGGTGAGATCGCAGACGAGAGAGCGGGAGGGCCACATGCGAGGAGAAGGATGAAGAATAGCAGCAGCAGCAGCAGCGGCAGTAGTAATCGTCGTGGTATTGTAGTAGGAGCCAGAGTGGTAGTGGTAGCCCAAGTGGTAATTAGCCGTTGGGTACTGTGTGGCACTGACACTGACCTGGTACTTTCTCGTTGTACTTGAGCCGCTTGGGTACTCCTAAGCTACTGCAGGGACAGCATTTGCGCTTCAGGGTCCAGGCAGCAGGGCAGGTGGAATTTCCTATGCTTTTCAGCTTGTCGTGATGTCTTCAGGCCGATACAGCAACAGCTACTGGTGGACATCCTCGTCGATCCGAGTTTCGCCCCAGTGCTTCACTCTCAACCGGCGCGGGCCTCACCGCTGCTCAAGCGTTGGTGCTCTGTGCTCATTATAACTAGTATTAATATTGTTATTATTATTGTTCTTCTTCTAATTATTATATTATTGTTATTAGTATTGCTGCTACTACGACTACTATTATTATGATGATGATGATTATTGTCATTACTTTTACTGTATCATTCTTTATCATTATCATTACCTTTACTGCAAGAATAATAATTATTATTGTTATTATTATTATCATGATCATTATCATTGCTCCTATTATTCTTGTTAAAAATATTGTTAATACTAATAGTAATAATAATAATATTAATCATAATAATGATAATGATGATGGTAATATTAGTAATAGTAATAATAATAAGTTATTCCTATTATTATTACTATTATCATTCCTATTAATACTCTTATTCTCTTCTTATTCTCATCGTCATCATCATCATGATCATCATCATTATCATCATTATTGTTATTATTGTTATTGATTTTACTATTATAATATCTATCATTATCCTTATTATCATTATTATCCTTATCCTTATTATTATTATCATTATTACTACTATGCTTAATCACAATAAGAATTATTTTTATTATGATTATTATATTTACTATTACTTTTACTATTACGATGACTATGACTATTACTATGACTATTACTATGACTATTACTATGACTATTACTATGATTATTACTATTACTGTTACTATTACTATTTCTATTACAATTACAATTACTATTACTATTACTATTACTATTATTATTACTATTACTATTTCTATTACTATTATCATCATCAATTATTAAAGATTGTTGCAAAAAACTTCAGTTTCGGTGCATTGAGAAGCGTTTCACGTGAGAGGATCGTCCATTGCAGCTTGAAATCGTGCCAAAACCTCGAGTTTTGGTGTATGGACAGGCGTTTCGGGTGAGAAGGTCGTCGATCGCAGCTCGAAATCGTGCTAAAACTCGAGCTTTCGTGCGCTCGAGAAGCGTTTCGTGCGAGAGGGTCGTCGAAAACGGGTTGCCCCCCCCTCCCCCCCCACCCCACAAAAAAAACAAAAAATCCAAATTAATTTTTCATGCTGTACCATGACAATATAACCAAGACCACTACGAATTTTACTTTTTGCATCAAGGGGCGGCTGGAGATTGCATCTCTCCAGCCAGGCGAAAGCTTTGAGGCCGCAGCGGTTGTGTTGTTCAATATGAGCGTGGTAGATTCTCCGCATAGTGTTATCATAGCTGTAGGTGGCATTGGTAAGCACAGTGCAAGGGAGATAGGCTGAGTCTGGCATGTCCTTGCTGTGAAATTTGCACGCAGGTCGCCTGCAAGGCGCCCTATGAGGCCGGACAGCTGTTATGTGAGCATGTGTGCTCTCATAACTTCTGGATTTGATCTAGTTACGTTCCTTGTGTGCGCCTACCCCGGATTGGCACTTGACAGCAGTCGCTTTAGGCGAGGCTAAATTGACATAGTTTTAGCAATTGCTCCGAACCGCTGACGGCGGCATATGACATGCGAGCAAGAGGCCATGAGTCGAGTGACTCTGCACAGAAGCCAAAGCTGCCCACAGGTCTGGACTTCCCCAAACTGCAAGCTGGGCCCAACATTGCCCCTCCGCCGGGCTATGCCTGGTGCCCGGCCCCTTTGCTTAGCGCAGGTCGCAGGTGTGTGCCAAGGCGGGCTCTAGCAGCTTGCAGGTGTACGTAGCACCTTTTCGCCATTACTCATCTGCATTACATCTAGAAGCTAGCGTGACTAAGTCACTAAAGTGAAGATAAGGTCACTGATGGTATCCATGGGCGACGGGCTTGGATTCACCTCGCTTGCTTTTTCTGACATGGAAAACCTGTACCGAAGTGAACCTATAAATTGCAGCAATGAGACTCAGCATCCGTTCATGATCCTGCCCTGACTTCGTGCAATTGTGAGACCCAGGTCCATGGAGTTCGACGAAAATACCACCAACCAGTCGGAGGAGATTTGGGAGGCGCGTCCGACGGAACGATGGCCCTGATTATGACGATGGTGGTGAATGATTGAGAGTACTTGATGTTGAGACATGGAAAAAGATAAAAGAAAAGGTCAGAGGTTAAGAAGTCCTCTGCAATTGGCACCTACAAGTACTGGCTTCTCAGGTGGACGGGGACTGGCAGTGACTGGCAGTGTGCACCGGGCTCCACGGGCACAGCGGCGTGTCTCCGTGGGTGTGATGGTGATGAAGACTGGCATGAAGGCTGCAACCCTGCTGGCCATTCCAGTGGGATGCTTGTGGAGTGAACGACGCACGGCTGCACAAACAAGATAGTGTAGAGTTGTGCAACGGAAACGCACTTCAGATTTCTTGTGGGATCAGAGAGCTTCGGCTTGTACGAGTCTCATTAAGTTCTTGCTGTGTGAGCGAGCGCCACTGCAACCCGGGCAGATTTGCAACATCACTTGCGACCAAGGCAGCAGAGTAGCCTTTGGAAAAAACCATCTTCTGCCGGGTAAGCTTGCTGCAAGGTCATGCAGGGGGCCCTTTCGGTGTCAGCTGCCCGGCCGAGAACACTCGACCAGGGAGGCCCGTCTTGAGAATGTGTCGTATGTTAGCAGGTTGATGCCCTTGTAGAGGGATCTGGATTTCTGTTGCAAAGGAACCTTGCCACCTCCCTTGCAACCTTTGTCAACATGCCTTGTCCAGGCCTCTTGAGCTTCTGTCGGGGCCTCCAAGCTGTGAGAGGACATCGCCACCTGTCTCTGGAAGTTGCCAGAAAAGCATGGGGAGGATTCTGAAAATTGGCAGTCCCAACATCTATAATGAAAAAGACCCGAATTTTGATGAATCAGCAGTTCATGAGCGACCTGCATCTGAACCGTATCTCAACGGTCGAGAACTTCGTCCGCATTTGGCGTCAGGATGTTTCCAGAAGGTGGGTGCTATGACCCAGTTCGACCGCCACCAGTCCCAGCAAATCCAGCAGTGCCTTCGAACAACAAGAGTGCGTATTGCTCTCAAGTTGTAGTGCCCGGATACTACGTCTTTTGATGGCACATGTACCTTCTGAGAAGCATCAGGAACCCGCAGAAATTCCTTCTCAGCCATGTTTCAGGCTATGTTCGGGCAAGCAACGCCAGCAACTGGACTGCGCGCGGCCCACTCTTGGAAGGTCCGCACGCACAGACAACAAGTGCAGTGCCCATTGTGATGCAAAGCTGCGTGATGTTATTCTATGATCTGCCATTAGGGCAGTTAAATCAGTCTGCCCTATTGCTGCTATCGCTAAATCAAAATGCTAGGCAGTCATAGTCTTTATGCAGTTCCATGGACCAAATCTGTAAAGGGAGCATGCGTGTGCTATAACCATCCGCTCTTTGTCCAGAGCTTTAGATACAGATACAGATGATGTTCTTTGAGGAAGCAGCCCTGCAAGACGCTGGATCCGGAGAGCCGCTACTATGAGGCTGTAGGCAGGGACTCGTTGCAGGGACATTCTTCTGCAGCCAACTGCATTTCTTGCACAAGAGCGACTGCTTCCTTTCTGAGGTCAGGTCCGTTGCCGCTCACCATCGATTGGCGATGCTGTCTGGGCAACGTGTCCTGGCCAAATTGAATCAATACCTTGGCGAAGGGTGCATGATGGTCCATGATAGAGTCTCGAGATGTTAGGGAGCCCTCTGCTTTGGTTTGTGTTCCTGATCGGTCCATACCAGGTGTCCCACAGACAATACCGATCCCAATCAGGACAGGAGGGTTTGCAGGTTGTTTATTGACACGCAGACAACCTGTTGAGCAACCTTGTAACCAGCGCGCGCGGCAGCGCAGTCCCCGCTTTACATATGGCAGCCGCCATGAATTTCTGGAATACCAAAAATCAAAGCTTCGTCAGCCAGTCTCCGTTGAAGCTTTCGTTTCGGTGCCTTTCGCACAGGAGCCCACCTTCTCGCCACCTGCTTGCAGCATCCCGCACTGCGACCTGCCAGAAGTACTTCCCGCAGGCTACATGCTCAACGAGGCCCTGGATGGCATAATAACCATCTGTAGGGAGATTCAGAACGGCACTGTCTTCTGCGCGGACAAGTTTGCAGGCCGACCGCAAGCCACAAATGCAAATGCATTTCAATGGAGTGTGAAGCAAAAATCTGCAACTTGCCTGCAACCTATATTGTTTGTAAAAGAACACCAGGGTGCGACCGAAGTCCCCTAGGCGCTCCACAGTGCCACAATGAATCTAGTTCACCCAAACATGATACTGCTCCGCCACAGCGATAGCAGTTTTCAAGAGTTTGGTTTCAAGAGCTTTTGCAGCGCGAGCATCACAATGCCACATGGCTCGGTGAGAGCCCTGCCATCGTCGAAGCGCCATGTCTCGAGCAGCCACATCGACAGCATCATTCAAGGCACGAGCCCTTGCCTCAGTGATGTTTTCAGGGGGCCTCCACCCTGGCACTATGCGATCATGAGCGGGAACCCAGTGGAGGATGACATCAATTTCACGATGTGACAGAGCATCCAACGCCGCCCAAATTCGTCGGGCCAGTGTCTGGTAACAACCCGAATAACTGCGCTTGCACACACGAATCGCAGCTTGGCAATCACACAGCAGCAGCACTCTAGTCCTGCGGGTACTCCTCATCGAAATGGCTGCGGCCTCCAAGAGATGCAAGATGCCGAAGACCTCAGCGACAAAGGGACTTTGATCCTCATACTCGAAACCAGCTGCTATTGGCTGCGACCCCTCAACGACAGCAGCCCATGCAGCGACATCCTCCTTCGAAGATCCATCTGTTGCGCAGCATACGCAACTCGCATCCTGGCTCATGGCACTGGCAAACGCACGGACAAGGACCTGCGTACTATTGTCATCTGCATTTGCTCGCGGGGGCAAGGGCAGGAACTCAACGGTGGCGGCTAGGAGCCGCTCCTGCGCACGATTTGTTGGCGCACGAACGCCAGCATCGGTTCTTATCCCAGCCGTAGCTTCACACTGGAAAATCAGGTGAGGGCGGCTGGGCCACTCCTTGCCGCACATGCACGTAGTGTGCCACTGGTGTCGCGGCAATCCAGTCATCTGATTCTCATGCCAAACACTACAGCCAGATGCAAGTGCTACAAGTCTTTGTGCACGGGATGCCCCAGCTTCGAAGTAAATCTGCTTGTGGACAGCACCGTATAGCATGCAATGACCATCAGGCGGAGGCAGTAGGACACCCTGGGCCAAGTCCAAAGCCTCGCTTCTGTGAAGTGAACGACTAATGCGACATGTAGCGAAGAGGGCTTGTCGTTTGTGCTCATACTCCAGCCATGCTTTCAGGACATCTAAGCCATCCACACCTAAGACAAAGCGCCGCTCCTGACCAAGGTGGTCTTGCTTGGTGATGTTTGCGCCATCATGCGAGACACTCCACCCCCATCTGTCTAAAGCTGCTTTCGCAGCAGGTATCAGAACCTGCCATGGCTTGGCAGCAAAGCGAAGACAAACATTGTCAGTCCATAGTGGACAGCGAAGATGCCACTGAACAGCCGCTGTGAGTGCAGCCCACTCCATTGCGAACTCAGGATCGCACTGCCATCCAAAGATCTCGAAGACCAAGCACTTGGGTGCGTCTCTTAGCGCAACGTGTCCTACCAAAGCCCAAGCAATGTCTGTGCGGAGGCTCTGCATGTCCACGTCAAAGTCGGTAGCAACACACGCTATCCACGCCATTTTTGCCAAGATGAGCATTCCGACAAGGTAGGCTCGCATGGTAGCAGGCACACGTAGGGCTCGGAGGAAACGAAGCCGAAGGTGGAGTTCTTCACTGGACACGCGTGCTGGTGAGCATGTGCCGTCCAAGCGATGACACGCTCCCAGTACTTTCAGCTTTTCATCATGTACGTAGCCAGTCTCCCGGATGATGTCAGCATGCGTTTCTGGATTTCTGCAAACAAATTGACATTTGGTGGGCCTGCATGTCCAGCCACATGTCTCATCAAACTGCTTGCTTCTGGTCAAGGCTCCTCGAATGGCATCGTCCCGCTGATTTTCGCTGCCTTCTGTCCACATGGTCCTGTCGTCAACAAAGACCACCGCATCGATGAAGCTGTCTGGGGACTCAACCACTTTCCAAGTCCACAGCTGAAGCAGTGAGGCTGCTATCATCGGTGAGACTGGACATCCCTGTAAGATGCCACGGCTGACTGAATGCCAGCGCGTGCCCAGGTGTCCAGCAACGCTGAAGATGCGCTGTTGGGAGCTGTAGAACCCCTTCAGGAGACGAACAAGTCGAACAGGAGCCCCATGATGAACAAGTGCTCTGCAAGCAAGGCCAATGTCGATGGTATCAAAGCATTTTGAAAGGTCTTCGGCTACAATCAAACGGTCAGGGTCAGCAACTAATGCTTCGTGAAGACGCATGTGAGCATGTTGCACAGATCTTCCTGGCAAACCTCCCAGAAGATGAGGGCTGGCCCAAGAATCAACCCATGAACGCAGTTGTTGCACAATCTCCGCCGCACCCAACCTCCATGCCGCTGTCGCCATACATAGGGGTCTCCAGGTGCCATCCTGCTTGGGGATCAGGGCAACTCGTGCCCTCTGCCATAACCTGGGTACAGCGCCACGCTCCCAGACCTTGGCCCATAGTAGCGCAAAGCTCTCAAACCAACGCAAAGGAAGTCGAGCCAGCATGGCAGGCTCCCAGTCATCAGGACCTGGGGCCTTGTGGCCCATTGCTTTTGCTCGTCGCTTCAAGTTACGACCGTGCCACTCTATGGTAACATCAGCCTCACGTTTCTCATGACCGATGTCTGCCAGGATGCGTTCGAAGGGTTCCATCGGCTGGGGGCCGATGTTCCATAGCTCGGTCCAAGTCGCTTCCTCCTCAGAGATGATGTTGGAAGGATGCACAGCACGCAGCGGGACTCTCGGGTCTTGGACAGGTGGGGAAACACCAGCGGCCATTTCACTCGCAGCACGAGCCTTTATCCATGCCAGTGCTTTTGTAGGGCTCGCGTCAATCTGCTCTTTCCATCTGTCTATCCTCTCCTTGCGCAAGCTGGTCTCGCAGTCACGTATGGTTTGATGAACCACGTTGCAAAGGCCGTCAAGCGTGCGTTCAGGCCAATCGGAGAGCACGTCAAATGAAGTGACCAAACCATCCGGAGCACGAAATGCAGTGCGTTGAAGCTGCTCGTCGTTGGGTCTCAGCATAAGCTGGCGCAACCTTCTCCCCAATCGGCGCAGGCGCCGAAGTCTCACAGGTTCATCTGAGAGAGCTGCCTTAGAAGTGGCCGGAGCGATCCTAGGCACCCATGTATTAGCACGGGGCAGCTTTGCACCACAATTTTCAGCCTCATTTTCTTGCTGACCACATAGCACATGTTCAGCAGCGTTGCTGAGTGCCTCCCAAGCTGCATCAACATCATCACGGTTTAATGCTTGCAGAAAGGGTTCGCTGCACCAGCTCTGCTCAAACTTCTCAGCGATGGACTTATCATCCAAGTTGTTAGGTTGCAGTCGAGCCGGACTTTTATATTGTGGGATGCCCGCCAAATTTTCAAACTCGTAGCACACCGCATAGTGATCAGCAACTGAAATATAATTTTTCAAAGTTGTTGGAATCACGTTCGGATGGGCCAAGCCGTAGTCAATGCGCCTCTGTCCATTCAACCTCGTAGGTGGCAAAGTGCGAAGCGGACCAAAATAAGAATCCAAATTCATTGCCCCACCTTGGCAAAAGGCTGCTTGAAAACATGCACAATCTTGTTCAAGATTGAAGTCGCCCATGATGATCCACGGGAGGCCAAAACTTTGGACGAAAGTCAACGATTGAAGTACCAAGGCCGCAGCGAGGTCCTCATCGCTGGCATCTCCGTAAACCGAGCCGATGACATATTTCTGCACAAGGCCATCGGCTAGGAACTCGCAGCAGGCAAAAACCGCGCGGTCTGAGTCCAGTAGCTCAGGAGCTGTCACCTTTCGAATCGGCTCCTGCGCAACAATGGCGACACGCGGCACCGGGCCGCTTCCCAAAACACACTGAAAACCTCGTCGTTTCCAATCCTGTACATATCTATGTGTAGAAGACGGGTTGATGTCAATTTCCTGAAGGAAAAGTACATGCGGTACACAATGTCCAAAAGAACTCAGGAGTGCAGGTGTTTTCGCCACACCCTGTCGCCCAAGGTTCACTGTTGCAAAGGTCTTCATGCTTTCTTTGGACGGCTCTCAAGGGCTGCGATTGCAGCCCGGCAAAGACCTTGCAAAACTTCATCTTCCATTCCATGTCGAGCAGGGGGCTTTTTCATGAGTTTTTGTAGCTTGCTGACGCGATGCTTGACGAACTTCGGGTCGACCTTCTCATCACACCTGTGTGTCTCAGCTTTGCTGGTATTCCAAAAACACCGGCAGCATGTTGGGCACTGTCCTGCGCTCTGCAAACAAAGTCGCTCTCGCTTCTGTCTCAGCACTACCCGCGGCCAAGAAAACAAGACAAAGCCATCCGGAAAACGAGGATTGATAACCCGTTGAGCCGCAGACTTGTTCAAGTGGTGGGCTCGCACCTTGCGAGTGAAACTGATGTCAACGCGCCTGTGTGCAAAGGCCAACCACTTGGAGATGGACAACTCAGA